AAATAGGAATCCAGTAGGTTCCCTTCAAAAGCAGTGCTGATGCAGACACAGACTCCACGGCTAGTCTGTTTACCACTGAGCCCTGAGGCAAACAATAAGAGGATACCTCTAAACAGATGTCAGGCAAAGTTAATATCTTATTCATCCCTGCATTCCAGCAGTTTCCACAGTGCCTAGGATTTATACACTATGTGCACAAATGTTTGTTGAATGAATGAATATAATAGGCTCTTGCTTCTCCTTGACTCTGGCTCACTTTGATACCGAGTTGTTACAGCCAAGGAGAATGGTGGGAAAGAAAAAAATGTCCCAGATACCAAATTACTGAGAAAGAAATTTTGAAATTTTCATTTTACCTTTTCTCTTTTTTTCCTGAGTGTCAAATAATTTATGATAGACCCCAGTTCTTCCCACAATCCTCTTATGGCATAGATAGGAAAATAAATCTCTATTTATGGTAAAACAGAGACTTGACGGGTTCAAACTATTTGGCCAGTGGCATAAAGCAAGTCAGTAGTAAGAGAAGTTCTAGTACAGGGTCTGGCACAAGATGAACTACTAAAATGAATGGTCTAAGCCAGCCACCAAGCAATCTTCTGTACAAAGAGGCCAATCTTGTAGATAAAGATATGCCTACAGGGCCGAGCCAATGGCGCACTCGGGAGAGTGCGGCACTGGGAGCGCAGTAGCACTCCCGCCGCGGGTTCAGATCCTATATAGGGATGGCTGGTGCGCTCACTGGCTGAGCGTGGTGCGGCTGGTCTCAAAAAAAAAAAAAAAAGATATGCCTACAAACAGCATGCCAGCTTTGTGTGTATATGATGGGATGGGGGAGCAAAATAAATTCTCATGAATTAAGTCCAGGATTAATAATACATCTAACAAACTCACTCATTAGAAATAGAGACCCAGACTGAATTAGGTTAAATATTTTCTACCTGTAAAACGATATGCTTGCAGAGTGGCTTTCATATTTTCCTGTTTTCTTTCTAAAACTTCTTGCTCACTGATCTCCATTGTTTGGTTGGGTTTTGCATTGGCAGTAGATGCTTTAACCTACAAGATACGAGGCAAATCAAATAGGGTACAAAGGTGCATGCCACAAGTCCCTGACCTCACATAACTGGATAAAAGCTAAATGCAGAACATTTTATGTTAAGTAAAGCATCAAGAAATGCTACAGTGACCAGTTAGGGCTATAAATTCACAGAAGAGGAAGAATCTTATGGGGTCACAGTGCTAGGAATCAGAAGTAGAAACTGTGCTGGCTTGAAGAACAATTAGGATTGGGATGGGAATGAAAAGGATGTGAGGGGCAAGAAAAGGGTGGGAAGAAAGTCTAGGATGAGCGCAGGGCGAGCAAAACAGATGGCTGTGAAGAGGCAAGGCTGAAAAAGCTGTTTTGGGTCAGACTGTGCAGGGTTTCAAGTGCTAGGACTCTCACACTTACAATTCTAGCTACGGCCCAGCAGATGGTGTCAGGCTAACCCTCACCCTGAGAATAACTGCAAGCTAGATAAAATACCAAAAATAAATTAGCAAGGAAGCAAATGAACAGACAGAAATATGGTTTGAAGGCAGTAGAGAACAACCCAAATAGCCCAGATTGAAGAGTAAAGATAAACTCTTTGAAGTTAGATGGCTTTCTCTGCAGCTTCTTCCCTCAGAGCATTTGCTGATTTGTATCACAAGGCACATGGGCCAAATAGAAAGCTATACCGCTAGACTTTGTAGCAATCTGTCTGGGGAGACAAAAACTAGAGATCATTGTTATCGAAGCAGCCTTTTCATGGGCCAAGATCCCACAGAAAACAGAACCCAACATTCTGCATGCAATTTGCCCTCCAAGAACTTGCTATAATTCCTAAACTATATATGTGTGACTGGGTATCAGAAACCAAGCAGAAAGAAACTGCTTAGGCTAAAAAGCTAAGCAGAAATTTTGGCAGAAAAGAATCTGGAGTTCAGGGCCTGCCAAGGAAGAGAGGCCTATCCTCAACATACCCACACTTTGAATTGAGGGCCCTATAAGAAGGGCTACATCCTAGGATAAGGGCAAACCAAAAATAGACCACCTCAACTGGATTAAGATGTTATGCCCATACGTTATCTGCCTGCCAGAAAAAACTGAAATTCTCTTTGGAGGAAGATAACATAATGCAGAACCCCTATATTTTTCCATATACACTACCCATCATTGGATCAAAATTACTAGGCATACCTAGTATGAGATAAGAGGAAAGAGGAACAGATGACTGAAAACCATGAGGAAAAAGAAGACAACAGAAACAGATCCACAAGGATTATGCTATTAGAGTTATCAGGCATGTCCATTAAAATAGTTAAAACATGGAGAATTCATACCAAAGAGCTGGAATCTATAAAAGAATCGGATGGAAATCCTAGAACCAAAAAATATGTAACTAGGGCCGGCCCGGTGGCGCACTGGAGAGTGCGCCGCTTGGGAGCGCGGCGGCGCTCCCACCGAGGGTTCGGATCCCATCTGGAGACCGGTTCCCGCTCACTGGCTGAGCGTGGTGCGGGCGCAGTACTGA